CACGAGCCGCGGGAAGGAGCCGTGCCTCCCTGCCGTCCGCCCGCAGTGCGCGCTACGCGATATCACTGGCCGGTCATGTGTGTGTCACTCTCACGTTCACACTGGTACCGTTCGGAGTGCTTGGTTACCGCGCTGCCGCCGTTACCGTCAACCGAGCAGTGTGTGCCCAGTATACACGGTGTGCGGCCGGAAGTTTAAAGTGTCTTCTTTCGTTCGGTGTCCTGGACGTGGTGGTGGCCAGGAGGGCAGCGAGCGGCGAAGAAATCCTGTCGAGGCGTGGGGATCATCATCGAGGGGACGACGAACAGCAAAAGGTGGCCGGGGGCGGGTGGCAGGTGGAAAAGAGGACTGTAAAAGGGAAAGATCAGCTGCGTGGTGGAGTGCGACGGAGGAAAAGGAAAAAAGGAGGAAAGGGGGAAGTTGGTGGTGTTGTTGTCGTCGTCACAAGAGGCGCATCAACCCGGCAGAGTTTTCGGTGGACACGGTGGGCACACGACGACGACGACGGTGGACACACGTATGTAGGAGCAAGGAGTGGCTAGTGCTGGCTGCTGGTGGCCGACCGTCCAAAGAAGAGGGAAGAAAGAAGAGAGAAAGGAGAAACAGGAGAAGAAGGAGTACCGTGCGCGCCTCATGGCCCTGTTGTTTGTTGGCCCGTCGTGATCACGAGGAGACGTATAGGTCCGTGTGGACTGTGCTTCCTTTGGTGTTTTTTTGGTGGAAAATTTCACGAAGTGGTGATTGGTGCTAAGGTTGTTCTTCTCTGAAAGGTTCACAGTGTGCTACGTGGGGTTTTTCTTTTTTGGGGGAGAGGCACGCTCGCCGGAGGATCGGAATAGAGGAAAAGAGAACGGCGCACGGTTCAAGGGGGAGAGAAAAAGAGAGAGAGAGGGAGAGAAGGATAGCGCTGGATAGAGATAGAGGTAGAGAATCGAGGGAGTAAGCGAGAAGGGGATAGAAAGAGAAAGAGAAACGGAGCGAGAAAGAGAAGTAGACGGTTAGAGGAGGTGGTGGAGGAAGAGGAGGAGGAAGAGGTGGAGAAGGTGGAGGAGGAGGAGGAGAAAGGGTGATTGGAAGACCCGGCTGGCGATCCGAATTCGCGGATTCGACACGCCGCGGTTCCCGATCCATAATATGGCGTACAAGTTTCGCGAAGAGATCGTGGGAAAGAGGTTTCTCTCGGTGAGTGGTTTCACCAAGCTAAAGGTGAATAAGATCAGTGAGTGGGGGTGGCGTGCAGGGGTGATTCGTGCTGCCAGTCACAGGGATAACGGCTGTCATGATCTTCAGGTAAGTTCCATGCGAATAAAACAAAAATTCTCTGTCGAACCAACTCGAAACGGCGTCTAGCTTCTAAACACGAGTCGAGACTAGTAGAACAGCTTCGATTCGATGCATGCGGCCTATCTGGCATCGCGCGTGCGACACGCCGTTTCTGTTTACATTAGCGACCGACCTTTCGAATATTCGAACCTCGCATTCTATCGTCTGCTTCGCTTCGATTCAAGGAACCGCCGTGTACTTTTTTTTTAGAAATGCGACCGAACCTTGTCCCTCGTATATATTTTACAATAACATTCTATTCGGATCAACCTCACCTTTGTGGAGTCGATATTTTTTCATGCGTTACATTACGGTTCTTGTATAGGCAATAGAAGTTTCTCCTAGCAATATTTCATCACATACACAAGCAGGAAGAAAGGTGAAGGAACGTTAACGATCGAGAAATAAAAATTTTCGTTCACCAGTTTATCAAAATTTCAAATCGAAAGGTATAATTATATAACACACGTGTATTTTAGTGGTATTGTTATCTACACGCACTAAATATGTATTTACCTCAAATATACAAAGAACCGTCTCTAGAGGCATTAATATTAATACTCACTCGCGCCCTTGACGTATTATTTGCTATTTGAGTTTTGGGAAAATTTCATGGCTCGTCATCAATTCCAGGTTAATCGTTCACCTCTGATAAGTATCATAGTTCCATATCGCAACACCGAGATTCCAATTAAAATCGTCTTGTAAAAATAGTCGAGAAAAATAACGAATCTGTTCTCCACGTTGAAACTTTACTTCGAAACGTACGTCTTACTTCATGAACGCAGTCAAAACACTCGTCAGTCAAGGAACCACGTGCCACGTCTGTCGAAAGGCAGAAATAATTTGTTTATACGCTAAATATCGAGCCAGTTGTAACCTTTATAAACATATCGCAAGCCGTTTCTCCTGCTGCAGACTCGGTAAATATTTTTTCCGCTCTGGCTGCGGAAAGACTCGTCGAATATCGTTCGAAAGTGCTCCTCGATTGGTGCCGCGTCGAATTTCTGGGCCCCCTCTTCCCAGATTACACGTATTTTCAGACAGCACGCGATATGGGAGACAAGGTTAATGAGTGGTGCGATTTATTCACTGATAACGGGATAGTAGAATGTTTTTGTACTTCAATTACGCGGTATGCGACTGCTCGTCGTCTTCGTCGTTGCGGGATTAAAATAGAGTCGCGACTAAACGCGGCATGTCGAGTGTCGAAAAATCTTGCTTTCACGTGACTCGATAGATTCGTTTATAAGCTACGCCCCTGTCTCATTATCGAGCAGCTTCAAGGTTCTATTTTGGAGTACCTGTATTTATTTTTATCCACAGTTATCTAGAATCCGTCTTATGAAACATATTTTAAGAGACTCGATTTTTAATTACTTTACATCTTAACTATTTTGTATCGGACACTTGTTGATTCCAATGTCCTCTTTTCATCGCACGATACCAAGAGACTTCTTTCTTCCTTCGTTATTGTTTGTATTGTCTATTGTTCGCAAGATATGAAATTTCGTTTGGCCGTGTGTCATACGGCAAGAAAATTCACGAAGAAAAATAAGGAGGGAATCATGGCTATAGACAGTGGTTACCAGGAGCACGGAATCATTGCGTCATATGTCGTACGAAACCGTAGGTGTAGCTTGTATAGTTATCGCACGTTTCACGTTCCATTGAGGAGCTGTTGATCGAACTTGATCGGCGATAAGCAAGGTTAAACGGCCGCAAAGCCGCTGCCAAAACGCGAAGTGGGGCAAAGTGGCGTCTCAGAAGAAGCTAACACGGCTTCTGTCAGATTACATAAGCTATCGTGCGAGCCGCTTACCTGAGAGCTTCTTTTTTTTCCTTTATCGCGACGTCAAGTCATAACTATTTCAGTTTTCGAGGACGCTGCTGGTGCACGTACAACGTACATGTATATACACATGTATACATCGCAAAACGCAAGCAGCTCGCGTTACGCGACTGATATTTGTCAATTACACTCAGCGTGGCCAAAGGCCATGATTGTGTCACTCTAAATACGACACTAGAGCTACGGCAATCTCTATTAGTTACTCTTTTCTAATCGTTTTCGGTGGATACTGGAGCATTGAACGCTGTGGATTTATAGAGAGATCAGTGTTTTATTCATGGGTTCAAGTTGCCGTTCAATTTAAATAGAGTACATATTTCGTATTTGAACTTGAGCTTCTTTGTCGTTGAAAAGTTCATTTCTTGGAAGGCGAAAGAGGCTTTTAAAACTGGTGTTGTTTTCTCCAATTATCCACGTAAAACGTTCATGGCGAGGGTGAATTTGTCCTTTGTTTCCTTATCGTAAACATGACAAATATTTCCAACGCGGCCAAATTAAGATCATGTCTTTGGTAATAATAATTTTCAGTTATGCAACGTGTAAATAACGGTTGTGGCTAGCCTTTTGCAATCGCTTGTTCATCTGTCTAATGCTGTAAAGTTATTTTGACAGTGATAGTGGTGAATGGAGACCACGTAGCACTCGTTGTTAATTCAAATTTTGCTGCGGAGCGACTTCCTCTTTTTAACGTGGAATTTGACACTTGTGAATTATTCATCTGATGGTATCTACGCTTGGTTATAGCTGCAAAGTTCTTGATTCTAGTTGTCACGTTCTTCGTCACGACTCGGCTGAAAATTGTCTACACGAAGCATATCTTTTCGTTTCTTTTTCCAAGGATTTTTCAGTTGTAAATGTTAATGGAAAATAACCGTTAGGTCGTTGAAAATGAATATTTTTCGAAAAGGGGATTCGTTTCAGCCGGTCTCCATAAATAAATGTCCGCTAAATTCGAAATGAAATTTTAATATTAACATTAATATTTATGATATTATAACGTAAACATTAATATTCCGTGCTTCGGCCAGGGTAGACCGACCATCTACGTAACACTGGAAATTATACGACCGATAAAATTGTTTTGTTCCGCGGAAAAGCGACATTAATTTTCCCCACCATTCAGTTCGAATCATTTAAATGTAATTCAACGATCGCCGTATATACAATGCCATCCAGATGAAAATACTTTCTATACGGTTACGTCTAAATATTTTATGCATATAAATAACCCGCAGTAGCATTCGTTCTGTCGTTACTATTAATTATTCTCGTGTCACACAAAACATCACACCATCTATAGTCTATTATACGTCGCAGTGTAATATTTATATTAAATCGATGTCCTGTTAGGCATTTTTACAACTCTCTTCTCCGACTTACTCTATATAGGTAGGTATTCTAAATGTTTTAGGCAGCGAGTCAATCGTTGGCTATTCCAGAAATACCCTACAGTGACTCCCACTAATATTCGGACACTCTTTAGAACAGCATAACTTTTTTAGAATTGAACCTAACGACTTGAGTTTTTTCGAGGAATTAGAAGGATACCAGCGTAGCGTAGGAAATCGCGTAGAAAACTGTAAAGGTCACACTTAATAACTTTTTTATCCGAGCCCATAATGAAAATTTAAAAAATACGTTTTGTAGGTTTATGTCAATTATACACATGCTGAAAATTTCATCGAAATCGATTAATGTTGCCATGAGCTACAAAACTGTAATAAATCTGCAGATTCTTACATCTTTCGATGCCTGTCGCTTGTTTCTCCATCAATCGATTTCGATAAAATTTTCGTAAATCCTGCTAACTTCTAAAAAAAAAAAATTCAAGTCGTTAGGTCAAATTTAAAAAAAAGTTATATTGTTCTAAAGAGTGTCCGAATATTAGTGGGAGTCACTGTATGTATAATACTCTAGCTGTTCTAAATATTGTACGTACTACTCTAGATTGGCTGGATATTCTAGACGTTGTACGCATTATGCTTATTAGCATTTGAATATTCAGACGCTGTGACTAATTTGGCATTGTAAGTAGATTATCGATACTCATTACACCTAAGGCTTGATCTAAAGAATCCTGTTTCATTTGAACACTTTTCTAGATCTAGTACCTACACCGCCATATTTCCTCGATTCGTTTTTGCATTCGTCGAACGTGACTTTTTCACTTGAAAGGAAAAATCCACAGTTTTTACTTCCTTATATAAAACATGTAGCCATGAAAAAAAATACAAGTGCAGCGTTGAACGTGGAACGTCTGGTCAGTGGCTGTCACTCCAATACTCACTGTGTCGAATTCGTCTGCGAATTCACGATGGCGCCAACCAGTATCTGGTCTCTGGAATGAATTTAGTTGACATCTGCTTACTATTTGCCAGTCGGAGGTCATTCGCTGCGCTGGCATCGAGCCTTGGTTCGAGGTCGTTGAATGCGGGCCGCTCGTCGTCGCGTTCGCTTTCTCCTTCTCTCAAAAATGATACACGATTTTCCATTGGTCGTTCATTATAAAGAATACGTGTGTACAGAGTAGGTGTCGATGCATCGTGTCGCGCCGCGCCGGTGCGTCGATTCGAGCGAAAACGGGTGGTTTCAAAGGAGGTGCTAAATACCGGAAGTACCGGCTGCTAACGTTACATCATCGAAATAACGTAGAACGCTTCCCACGCGCGGGGCAATTTCGACAATCCGTTTTCCGTAGCCTGAAAGAAGCAGTTGACCCCTGGATCCTCGAGAGCAATCAGCGCGAGCGAGGAACAGAGCGTCCGATCGTATGAAATTACGGGAAAGTGTTAGGTTCACGGGGGCCGGGGTACGTAACTCGTCGACCGCAAAATTTCGGGGTCCAGAGAGTTGGCAATAATTTCGGGGGTATCGCCTTTCCTTGCCGGCTTCCTTCTTTCTCCTGAGCACGTATACAGAGGATCCGTGTACGTCGATGCGCTTCATACGTGCTGTATAACGGTGCTTCCCCGTGGACGTGGCAGGTGCACGAAAAAGGCAGTCTGTTCTACCAGTTCCGTGGCAACGGGAAAGAGAGGGGGAACCGCTTCGACCTATTTACGATTGATGGAACATTGATATTCATCTCAGATCAATCCTTGATATCGTACAAGGT